GTCATTCGTTCCCGCACGTCCCGTACCGCACTCCAAATAAGACCACCAACACAAATACGTAATATGAAAAAGAGTATTGACAAACGTCAAATTCCCCACTTTGACAGGTTCAGTTAAGTGGTGAAATCTAATAATATTTAGGTATTTATTAATTTTTCATTTCTGTAAGACAAAAAAAAATTTGGCACAAATTTGCCGCCCCCTAAAATCCGCAGCCCTAGGCTCAAGCCTACTCAGTCTGCTGGTAAATCCGCCACTGAGTACATTCTATCGCCCAATACAAGATTGCTCTCAGCCCTGAAGATGGTAAACGTTATTTAATTTCAGATTCACACGATACGCTTTCTTGGGGTCACTATTCTATCCTACAAACATCGAATACTAAGGATGATGACGAATAACCCCTTTTGATGATTATTAGTAGATATGTAGTTGGCTGCAGTTCAGCTCAGAAAAGATTTTTATATCATTGATAAATGTTCAACTAACTATTTTGTAGATTTGAGGTATAGAGATTCAAAAAACTTCGATAGCAGCAAAATGTATCGATACTTGAAAAATGTAATTGTGAACATATAAATGGAATGATTATATATCAATAAACTCATCCCCCTTTCTGATTCTTCTAATCCCTCACTCATAACTAACATGACGCTAACCACAGTATACAAGGAATTTTATTATTCGAAAAGGAAAATATTGCCCCTTCACGTGGTGGCGCTATTACGAATCATCATGATTCAACTGAAGTATACTGATTTCCAATGTTTTCGAGTATCCTAAGTGAAAAATATCTGTTCTTTACAGAAAAGGTTTATTTTCAATTGAATCAGTTTCAATTGTTCGAATAAATAAAAATTTCAAATATTTGTGGACGGTTATTTATTCGAACTGACATGTAATGGTATGAAGATGGGCTTATTTTCACACCATTTTCCATGACATGTAACATTGCAAATCGTATGGGTTTTTGAAAAAAACGGGGCTTGAAAAATGCGCGTTTTTTGCTGTAGTCAAAGTGATCAAAATGATCTTTTCAGCGCGTTAAATTTTTGCGAATTTTTCATGATAGAAATGACCGCTTCATCGTATAATACTTCACCTTTCTTTTTCTTATCTTGACATCACCTACCCTAATCGCTGGATTGGACGTGTAGGACCTCAAAATTTGCCACTTGCAGTCCTGATATAAATCCTCTAAATTTTTAGTCATGGGGTCATCTGAAGGTTCTTGTTCATAAAACTCTTGTACTAGTTGTGAATGACTTGAGGAATTGAATAATTGACAATTGCAACGTCATAAGAAATACTCTGGGTATTTTCGAACATGTCAGACAGTCGATGACAAATCGATCGCAGTCATGTATTTTATCAGAAGATGGAAATTTTGATCATTTACTTCAAGATTGTAATTATTTATTTAATTCTGGTCTCCACTCCACCATCAACTACTCACACCAACCTAGCCAGTTCAGTGGTGACTATCATGAGTCAAACTGCTTCTATTGAATTTCACTTACAGTTGTTCATAACCTGATAACATCGAATTTCAAGTTTCTCCAATGTTTTTTTTGAATTTGCAAATCTTTCTATCTGTTTCCACATTAGGTACTCGGTATCATGTTTTTCATCATCTACAAATGAAATCATTTGAAATGAGTACCCACATCTGCCAAATAGGTTATGAGACCCTTTTGGCTTCGTAAAATGATAAAGTATGTTTCATGACATATAAACAAATCCATAGATGTCAAAATCATCTAAATCGGACGACCGGAAGTGAAAACCGAAAGTGACCTGTTTTTGACGGATTCGAAACCTTCCCATCATAGGGAATCCAAATATATCATTAATTTTAGTATAATAGTATAATGAGATTTTTTCATTACTGGATGTGCTTAATTTCGCATGTAATGTAAAGATATGTCAAAAGTGGATGATCAAATTTCCATATTTTTTCATCAACATTTCTACAACTTCACATGTGCTTCTCAGTGAAGATACAACTTAGTGACCTCTCGACATCATATTTGTTTTTTTTTTCGTCGATGAATTCTGCATTTCTTTCTCTTTCATTTGTCGTGCTGAGCGTGACGATCCGACTATTATTAACAGTGATGTGGCTTAGTGCCCTTCTGACATGTTGCATCATCTTTATTTTTCCTTTGTCGATACATTCTGCATTCGTTTTACTTTCATTTGACGTGCTGTACATGACGATCCGATCATTGCCGAGATGACTTCAATCATTTTAATACCAATTTCAAACAATTCTTATTATCTTCAAACTATTAACGACCCAATAGCTACCTACCTATTACAAATCTATAAATAGTCATAATATTTTAAGATAATTGAAAATCCTTTTTGTTTATTCCTTTGCCTACTAACATTTTTGAGGTTAAGTGGAAGAGCAATTGAATGATGACTTGTCATCATGTAAATTGAACTTCACCTTTTATCTTTAAATGTATTAATTTGCTTTAAATGTATTAGAAGGTGATAAAGACGATATTATTTTATTATTATCATTATTATACAACTTGGTGCCTTTCTGACATGTTGCGTCATCTTTGTTTTTTCTTCGTCGATACATTCTGCATTCATTTCGCTTTCATTTAACGTGCTGTACGTGACGATCCGATCATTATTAGCGAATATATTAGTTAGTGCCCTTCTGATATGTTGCGTCATCTTCGTTTTTTTCGTTATCTATATATTCTGTATTCGTTTCCCTTCAAGTTGAGTGTTGTACGTGTCGATTCGGTCATTATTAGCGAATATACAACCAAGTGCCGTTCTGACATGTTGTGCCTTTTTCGTTTTCTTCTACCACGCCACCACCTTCCACGCCGACGATCACCTCCAACGTTTTTATGTTTTATTTGTTCCCTTCATTCTGATTGGCTGACCGACACCACTCTGTATCATAATTCAATCTGAGTGTACCACAAGGTTCCGTTCAGGGGTCCGAAAATTCGACAAATGAACCTTCATACGACCAAGCCTAGAATTTACAATTTTTATGAAACATCAATTATTCCCCAAATTTAAGGATATTTTCCTATCTTCTATATTGTAGTGATTTCACAATTTTTATAAAATTCTACGGAAATCAAAAAATGCGGTTGAGAATAGAGAATGAGTCAGTTTCGGTTCCGACAAAACAACCGACATAAATATCAACAATTCGCAATTACTTCCAATATCTCACGTTGGTGTCGAGGCTAAGCACAACGTCTACCACGCCGATGACCTGGGTTCTATTTTCATAAAGATACATTTTCTTAATAGAATTTTCCTTGGCTGCCGTTGACCACGTCACTGGTACGCGACAAGGGGGCTCAGTGGTGAATGCCCGAGGGGTGAGGCGGAGTCCCATGGGAGCCCAAGGCGGTGATGCGTAGTCTCAAGGGGACCCGAGGGGTTAGGCGTGGTCCCAAGGGTGTCCAAGTTCTTTGAATCTCTCTCCGATTTCTCTACATGGAATACGTCACACGCTCCTCACCACTTTCCGAATCGCACCTACCTCAAGTTGGGTGTTCCTCAAGGTTCCGATCGGATATCATGAAAATTGCAAACAATTTAGCGGACTAAGCTTGCTCTTCTACTGATTTGCATTTTCTGCTGTACGCGAGGTAGCTTCTGATTGGTCGACTGGATGATGGTAAAAATAGAGGAGAGAGGGTGCTCTGGAGTGTGCTTTGAAGGTCTAAGGCTCAATTCACACAGAATGGACGTCTGGCAGAGACGAGGCGCAGACCTTTGCCCCTTCCCTGTGAATTGGGCCTGAAGTCGTAAAATCGCCAGAATGAACCTGCTCAAATTTGCACGTGTTTTTTCATAAGAACTCTTGCAGCTTTATTACTAGCATACATCATTAAACCATCTTTTGCTATGCATTTCTTATTTGTGGGTAAAATATGATATAACCCTGTTCGATTGTCCAAAATTGGAATGGGGTTACAAATCCCTTTAAAAATTAAAACCCAACATTTGAAACATCAATTTGAATACTTTTTGAAGTGAATTTGAAAAACTCATTAATTAAACTCAACTTCATTTTTTTCAAACTTGCACTTGCTGTAATGACCCTAATTGAGGAACATTCCCCATTCTATTCAACATCTTCGAATGATATCAAAGAAGTAATACAGAAAAAAAAAATATGTTCGCCGATGACCTCAAATTATTAAGATTGTGGCTAACAATGAAGAAGCTGAACTTCTACAAGATGACTCATAAGGACTTGGGTGTGTTATTTGTTTTTAGACTAACACTCAAACTACATATCGAGTGGTCCAACGAAAAGTATGCACCTTGCTTTTCTCCTTTTTTTGTAACTCAACGCAAAAATGCTCGAACAGGTCAATTTTGCTTTTGATCAAATCAGTGTATCTTTTGAGTTGTGATATTTCATTACTGATCCTGGACTATTTTCAATATTGAATTGAATGTGCCTATGGTTTGAACTCTTTGAACAAGTTGTATATTTCGGTCTATTTTTTTCATTTCTATTGTTACGTTTTTCCCCGTAGGACTACACTGCATGATAATCAAATTTAACTTCATTTCACTGTTATTACAACAAAACACTTCAATTAAAACTTCAACTATTATTCAAATATCTATCGCCTTATAAGATTGCTCTGCACCGCACTGTCGCTTGACTTGACTTCACTTGACTATATCGATGGGCGAGTGGGTCGCGTTAATATTTGGCAATCGAAGACGGTAGAAAATTCGCCGGAATTCCATCGAAGCCGGTAGCATTATTCTCGCCTCATCTAGAACGAACGCGAGCGGAGGTCGAGTGGAGCACGTCACAATTGATTTCTGACGACCAGCGACGGCCGGTGTAATTTTTTTAGGGCATAATTTATAACACTATTATAATATGTTTTGAATCTACGAGGATGAATATTTCAAACTATTGAAAATCTATATGGATTTTGGAATTCAGAAACGATACAATTTGAACAAAAATTTCTTTGTTGCAGACCGATCGCAGGACACGCAAATTTGTGTCCGAACAGCATCACCACAAAACGTCAAGAATTGGAAATACTTCTGTCGACAGTCAAACACGAAATTCTTCACGCTCTTGGGTTTTCAGTGAGCTTATACGCATTTTATCGTGATCACAAAGGAAGTCCGCTAACCGAAAGAAGTCTGGAAACTGGCAAGCCGCATTTAAATGAAACGTGAGTTACCATTTACCAACCTTAGTACGATGCCATTGCCGGGTCTCGACCTCCCTCCATTACTTGACCTTGAATGAAGCTCGAAATTGGCACTTAAACTCGATATATGACTTTGAGCTCACTATGTGTTATATGTTTTTGAATATTAACCTCATAGCTCTCCCTTTGGTGGAAGGGGGGGGGTATGCTCTCATAAAGAGTATGGTTCGAATGTTTTTTGCATTCCAAACTCTCCTCATCGTGGGTTAATGGGTTAATATTTATATTTGAGATGTGTCCCTGCAGTGAATGTGGAAAATATTCTAGTCGGAATGAAAACCTGCGTCGTCATCCGCGGGAGTGTTGTTCGCTCACGAGTGATGAAGGACTATCAAGATCGAAGAGGCGGAGGTTGTATCCCCAACACCTCCAGCAATGCAAACATGGTAGTGCTGCAAATTGACTATTACAAGAGATCAGATGAATATACATCCGAGAACATTGCAGCGTAGAACAAATGCATGTATTCAATATGAAGACGTTGATGAAATTATATGCACAACGCTCAAGTGTGGGATTGTGAGCTTCAGGTTGGATAGTCAAAACCACCATATAAATTACCCCACATTTCTTAATGGATTGAAACATGAAGTATTGAAACTATTTGAAATAATGATTAGTGTGAAAGCAGCCACGAGTTCTAGCCATGGATTTGTCGAAGCGAAGCGTGAGATCCGATAATCAGCAGCTCCCAAAATACGGACCAAATTCGTGGACAACCATGAATTTACTGAACAACCCGAAATTTATGCGATTAAAAACAAGTATAACAATGAATACTTCATATCAAAAATTGTCGAGATCATCAAGTCATTAGAAATTGTTGGAATATATACATATAAGTTTGAAGAAAATCCAGGATTCATCAGATTCATTACTTATTGAAATATTTCGTGGATGAAGATTTTTTTCTCAGAATGCGTTCATTCCAGCAACAGAATAGGGCCCTTATTGCAATATTTTTTCGAGCAGAAAATCAACCCCCACCCCGAATGAAAAAAAATTCAAAAAAATCCACAACTTCTTCAAATATTGTTTGGGTGGGGATTTTTTTCTTCAAATGTATTCATTTTAGCGTACTTGAAAAGACAAATATGCCAAAATATTCTGTCAGACAGAAAATCAACCCCCACCCCGAATTAAATTAAATAAATATTTTATTCGGGAAGAAAATCAACCCCCACCTTGAATAAAATAATTTTCATAGAAAAATCCATAACTTTTTCGATTATTCTTCAAAAGGATTTTTTCCTTGAAATGTATTCATTNCAATAATGATGAACAGTCCCTAATAAAATAAATTGATTCAATATTCTGAAATTCAAATTATTTTTCATGTTGAATTGTAAATATCTACAGAAACTTCTAATATAATATAATGTAATATATTATAATTTATGATGATATCAAACAAATGTATCTTAATCGATTTGTCAATTATTATTATAAAATTTAATGCACAGCAAACATTCAAAATTACTTAGTTCACAGCAAGAATCATGAAACTGGCCAACACTTTTTATGTATTCAGGGTTATCCCTCTGTATTAAAACTAGATCTACAATATCATCGTTATGTCGATCATTTCTGGTAAGTTTTTCAGAATGAACTTCTCTGAAAACTGCATCGGACTTTACATTCTGGAGATTACTACTTAACATTATTGCTGCATTAGAGTCACAAACTGTTTTATTGCGAAATAATGGTTTAATATTTTTTAATTTTTGCATGAAAATTTGTCTTTGAACCCCTTTCGCATATCTGCTATACACTTTTGAGTGATTATAATCCCGGCATGAACTCAAAACTTCAACTTTATGGTCATTGAGGCGGTTTACATGATGAATGAAAATTTTAAATTTTTTAGAATTGTGGGCACAATACGCTTACACCGTAAATAAATCATTTTGAACACTGTATCTTTTGCTTCAATGAATACATGTAACCTAATTTTAACTTTTTCCCCTCTGAAATTGTTAGAAGTTCCTTATGACTAGTTAATGTTGAAACAACCGTCAAAGAATCTACAATCTCTATAGGATGGTCTAGTCCAATTATCTGAATTAATATTTGTCGAATTGATAGGAATAATATTGTTCTTTTTTGATATTTTATCATGGAGTTCTACAAATGTTTGCTGTATTTGGTTCGTTACTTGTTGATATTTCTGAAGATCGGATGAAGTTAGAGTTGTTATTAAAGGAATTGGGAGTATCTGATATTACATCATTTGGAGTACCAATACCGAACGTTGGTGTTAACGTTATCACGGTCCTATCGAAACAGGGAAAAGAGGTTATGCTTGTAAAACCATTCTCGTCCGTATTCGCAATTTCTCTGAGATTATTTCTCATTTCCTTAAAGTTATTGACATTACTAATATTTGCTGATGTACCACTAGCTACTGGTACAATATCTAAATGTAAAGAATCTGGTAATTCTGGTGTGATTTTTGTTTCAAATTTGGAATCGGAGTCTTGCAAAACATGTTTTGTGTTAAACATGTTATTCAATAAATTACGATTTTCATTATTTATATTACATTTTCGAATTATTATATTCTGAAGTAGGTATATTGATTTTTGGTTTGAGAAAATAAAGGAAACCACCTGAATTTCTTCTGACAGTTTGCACAATTTCGTAGCATGTATTTTCATCGGCTTATTTGAAGAGGTATACAGCCGCCTTCTTTATTTAATCTGATCCGGCACTGAGATTTTTGATCTGTTCATAAATGTTACCTGAATAAATATCTTCGAAGTATTCAGCTAAATGTTTTACATTTACGTGTGGAGGTCTTCCGCGTCGTTTCATATTGATAACTGTTCAATTGAGGATATAAAAAACAATTTTGAAAAATACTCACTCACCTATATGATTTGACAATATTGCAACGAAGAACATTATAAATTGACTTACCATACATAGATTGATAATATTGAATTATCTAATAGCCTTATACAATCTAAAAAAAAACAAAAAAATATTTGTTTTATTCCAACAATTCCTTCTCTTTTTTCATGACAAATTTCCGTCATTTGATAGTTTTCGAAATATGAGGTCTGAAGTAACTGAAAATATGTTTACCACATGCAAAATCTGGTAAGGCTTACCTACATTGCTCTAAATGCAATAAAAATTTGTAGGGGGTATCGCTTTCAAAGATCGATTTCCTGTCATGTAAAAAAAAAGTGTGGTTTTTTTCGAAACATGGTAGTCACTAAAAATACTTTCTTAATAGTCAGTGGGCTATACTTGAAGACTGGCAGTAAACAAATCTAAAGAAATGAACTTTGATTGTTCAATCCAGTCTCGGATATACCTACACAGTAGGTTGAATGGACTGACGCCTAGCAGAAAAAAACTACTCCCGTGGCTAATACCACGAAGGGCGTTGGATTATATCCGACTGGCGTCAGTGCAGGAATCTTCACAGAAGATTTCCTGCATATGCAGTTGGAAATAAAACTGAAAGAATAGACTTTCAATTTTGGAACGGGTACACCTGCAGACCAGTTTCGAGCTCCTTGGCCACTCGTCATTGCAAGGTAGTTGCCATCATCGACCTGAAGTCAATGATATTCCATAATTGATATTCCTCGTCTAGTGAACGAGGTACTAACCAACTGCATAACCGAAATTTGCCCGATTCCTCTATATAAGGAAAGAAAAACTTTCTAAATAGTCAGTGGGATATGCTAATACCCTTCGAGGTATTAGCTAGGGGAGTATTTGTTTTCTGATAGGCGTCAGTTCATTCAACCTACTGTGTAGGTATATTCGAGAATGGCTTGAACATTTAAAGTTCATTTGTTCAGATTTCCTAAACACACAGTTGTGTTTTATTCATTATTCAGATATTTTTTGAACGATTACGAATATTAATTCGTGATTATCTGATTGAGATTAATGCTGAAAACCATTGTTTACCATATAGGATTCATTGTTATACTTGTTTTTAATCGCATAAATTTCGGGTTGTTCGGTAAATTCATGATTGGCCACGAATTTGGTCCGTATTTTGGGAGCCGCTGATCATCGAATCTTCCGCTTCACTTCGACAAATCCATGGCTAGAACTCGTGGATACTTTCACACTGATGAAATAATAGTGTCAGTGATCCATAAATGTGTAAAAGTAAAGATGGAGGAGTTTAGACGTTACAATCTATAAACTAAGGAGCTTTCAGTTAAATCATTCAATAGTTCCAATCAAGTTGTTGATCAACCAAATGATTTTAATGTGGCATATAACACTTCTGCTGATAGTTTAACTGCTCAAGCGGTAAAATTTTCAGACAAGATCAAGATTCAGGTATGTGATCTATTCACAAGGTTGTTAATTGAATGTGGTGGCAGGTTAGAGGTTAGAGGAAATTTCGTATGCCAACAAGTGTAGCTTTCTTTGATGATCTTTTTACATCAAATACTAGACTAGTACTGCTTTGCGAGGGCTGTGACTTCAGCTTTGTATCCAGTCAATATAAGAGCCTGTAAAATTTCATCATACCTCCATCATGTTGAATGTAGCAGGTATCGATTTTCCAATTCAGTTGACAAATATTTCTGAATTTGAGGCTATGATTGAATGTTCTATCAATATTTATGAATTGGAAAATATGAACAAAATGGTAGAATTGAAGATGAAGCCCGTTACACTATCCGAAACGTAAACGTAACAGTCCGTGAATCTGTTTAATATCACAAATGATTCTGGTGGCAGTCATTATTATTGAATTGAAGATTCATCGAGATTAGTATCACCCGAAATATCTAAGTCGATCATACAAAGTTTTTTGTGTCGACTTTTTAATACACTTTGATAATAAGCGGGCTTCATTGCAACATCATTTGAATGATTGTAATCACATGTTGACAATAACGGCTATTTTAATTTCCAGGATTGATAAATTTGATGAATATGTACCCAAGAATGTTTTGAAATTCAAAATTTTACAAAAC